TTCTAGCAGGGAGTTTACTGGTATTTCAGAATCCACACTTTATATATTGTGCGGTGGAACAGAGTGTGCAAGCCAATATTGTGCGGTGGAAGAGAGCATGCAGAGCATGCAAGCCTATAGCCTCTCTCAGTTCCGCTTGATTAACTAGATTAGTCATTGTCCAGCAAAAGTGACCTAATATCAAACTAGGAATGATCTCCCTTGAACCTTTATTTGTATATCATGTGTGTTTGCCCCTCCAGCCTTTGTTCCCCATGTATTTGTCCAGAGAGGATAAAAGTTAATCATAAAGGGAATCTCTCTAAAGCGGTCCAGACTTCCGTGGACTTCTCCAGTTTTGATAAATATTGCATGGAGGCATGCTGTTAGCTGAAATATTACATACTTATACTGACAAAAAACTTGGTTAACACATAGTTAAGGGTGTCCCAAAGTATATTGTTGTAGGCTATGTAATATGTAGCATGTATATTTTAGATGTTGGAACATGTGAAAAGATACCAACTTGTCTTGCAAGTAAAGAGAACAGCCAGGTGAAAAGCTGAGCTAGCAACCTGATGAGGTGACCACCCGCATCAGCAGTTTGATCAGGAAAAAAACAGAGTTAGCAAACTAATCATAGTGTTAGGCAAGAAAGTGGTTACAAATATATAATGAATAGCTTTGTAACAATGTATGTTAGGCACGCACCTGAAAATGGGGGTGCACTTGCATTTAACCCTCTGCTATGCCCTATTTCCTGGACTGATCACTCACTGAAACAGCAAATAAATGGCATACTTTCTTCAGCTCAAGAGTCGGTCTATGAACCTGTGCGGGCTGGATAGTGGGGAAAAGAACTGGAGAACAATTATGTCCTTCTAGAACACTGAGTTCAGGGAAACTTAAACTTCTCAAAAACCAGGCACTGAAGGGTTAAGGTATTTTAAATGCAAAAATGTATTATCTATTTATTTATTACATATTTTTTCACCTTCACATGGGAATCGCTCAGCCAGGGG